GACACTGAAGACTGGAGTAATGATGCTGAAAATTCAGCTTTGATCACAGAAATAAATTACATTTGAAAACATTCACACTGAAAATAGCTCTTTTAAATTGTAAAAATAACTGTGTTGTATATAAAATAGGGTCGTTTATATAAAATGGCGCAAATGTAAAATTAAAAGTAAGGTCCCAGATCACAAGACATAAAAAAACAAAACAAAACAATGACATGATTTAAAATTTTTATACAATGTAGTGGCTAAGCAATTTTTACCCAGCACTGGGTTGAATTTAACCCAGCATTTTTTAGAGTGTATGGTGTGCTATAGTGTCATTTCTCTTTATAAAGGAATAGTTCAAATTTGCTGAAAATGTCCACACCCTCATGTTGTCGAGTTTGTTTCTTCATCAGATTTGGAGAAATGTAGCACTGCATCAGTGTCTCAGCAATGGATGCTCTGCAGTGAATGGGTGCCGTCAGAATGAGAGTCCAAACAGCTGATACAAACATCACAATAATCCACAAGTAATCCACAGCACTCCAGTCCATCAGTTAACATCTGGAGAAGACAAAAACTTTGTGTTTGTAAGAAACAAATCCATCATTAAAACCTTTTAAACTTCAAAATGATGTTTTGGGCTAAAATACTCCATAATCTATAATAACACTTCCTCCAGTGAAAAAGTTGTCTGGTCTGAATCAGGAGAGAAATCTGCACAGATCAAGCACCGTTTACAAGCCAAAACAGCTCTGAACCAGCTCTAAACTATAATATTTGGGAGGATTTTGATGTGAGAGACAACAGGATATGGACTTTTTCACTGGAGCAAGCGTTATTGCATATTATTCTATTACTTTAACTTAATCAATTTAGTTTAACCAATTTCAACTTACATTTTTAAGCTATACGAGATTCAACACACAATTTTTAAGTTAGTTTAATATAAGTTAAAATTAAGTTTCTGGTAGTCATTGACTTCCATAGTATCAAAAAAATACAATGGAAGTCAGTGGCTACCAGCAACTGTTTGGTGATCAGCATTCTTCTGAATATCTTCTTTTGTGTTCAGCAGAAGAAATAAACTCATACAGGTTTGAAACAACGTGAGGGTGAGTAAATAATGACAGAATTGTCATTTTTGGGTGAACTATACCTTTAATATAAATTTAAACTATAATACAAGTCTCTGAAAACATTGAGTTCACATTTAAATATATTATTTCGGTAATACTCTTTTTCATCAGTGGTCGTATAATTCATTTGTTAAGTTTGTCTGTCACATTTAGAACTTTCATACGGTATGTTCCTCCACAATCCCTTGTATAATGTATGATTTGGCACTTTCTTTGCATTATGTTTTGTTCTGGAAAATGTCAAATGTTTATGCCCTGCTAGCTGAAACTGATAAATTGTATATAGGAAACCAGAATAATGCTTCATGCTGTGCCTGAAACGAAAGATACGTAGGCACAGGGTACAGCTCATTTGCCTGAGAGAAAATACATTTACATTTTTTTTTTAATTTAGCAAATACCTTTATTGAAAGTGACAAAGTATGATAGCATAACATGCTACCTTTGCTTCAAGTTATTCTTGATTAATGTTGGCAAATACATCACAAAACTTTTTGACAGGAGGCATTTGTCATTTCACTCCTCAATATCATAGAGGAACTGGACTATTATAGGAATTGGACGATACTATGCTGCATAACTGACCTTACATAATATACAATACAATATACCATATGCAACAACAAATGTGCTGTGCATTTATTATAATATATATCAAACTTAAAGGGGTCATATGATGCTGCTAAAAAGAACATTATTTTGTGTATTTGGTGTAATGAAATGTGTTTATGCGGTTTAAGGTTAAAAAAACACATTATTTTCCACATACTGTACACAACAATACTACAGCGAGGATAAAAGTTACGCCTTCTTTCTTTGCTTGAACATTTGGGCGGTGTTATGCAAATCTTCCCACATAGTGATGTAGATATGTGGGGGTGTGTTAGAACGAGCCGTTTTAGGTAGGCGTGGTTGACTCTTAACTTTTATAAAGAATATCTCTTTGGATTTGAGACTTTAGTCTTTGCAACTTTACAGATCTTCTTTATGCACCAAGAGCTTGTAACACTCCAAAGAGAAAGAAAAAATTGAAATCGCATCATATGACCCCTTTAAATTAAAATGCTCTTCTATCTGGTGAAAACACACTTCATCATATAACAATCATGCTGCTATTTACATTAGAATGTATGATGATTATGAGGCGAATTGACTCAATATCCAGGGCAGTTTAGGTTGTGTTTCTCTGCGGATGTCTGTTTTCTGAGAGTGTGTAGATGGTGTGGGGATGGTGATGTGCAGCAGCATGGGCTGATGGGTAAGCCAGCGTGCTGAGCTGTAGCAGGAGCACATCGAAGTAGCGTGGGAGGAGCAAGAAACCGCAGTATTGCCTGAGATGCAAAAGGTCAAAGGGTCACTGCCAATAGAATTAATTTTTAAAGACCTAGGATGAGGGAGAGATGGAGAGAGCGGATAGTACAGGAGCTCCGAGAGAGTCAGAAACGACAGCAGGAATTCAGTGGACACCTAATCAATCGTGTCTGTGTGTTTTTATTTAATTTTACATGTGAAAACTTAACATGTAAAACTTACAACATATAGACATAAAAAAATAAAAAAATAAAAAAATAAAACACAGCAAAATTACTAAAACTTTAATTAAAATTAATATTACCAAAAACTATAGCATTATATAAATGATACTAAAATAACACAGCTGATTTAAAATGCTCTTGTACTTAAAGTACAGATTTTAATGTGTTGGCAATGGCACATAAGCATAACTGCTATAAAAATACAGGCTTCTCATGGTCATAGAAAATTTTAAAGCATTTTAAAATTTTGATTTTTCAAGGCTTAAAACACATGTCAAACTCCACTCCTGGTGGGCCACTGTCCTGCTGAGTTGAGCTCCAAGCCTCCAACCAGCTCCAAAACACCTGCCTGGAAGTTTCTAGCAGAGATTGTCTTATACTATTGGGAGATGAGAGGGTCTGTAGTACTTACTATTGGTTAAAGCATAACGGTCAACTTGGATCATGTCTGCCTATCACATTACAGCCTTGATGTCATGAGTTGTGTGACACTCAGTCGCCGTTTACAGATTTTTTCGGTGTAAACTTTAAAAATCTTTTAAATCTTCAATCTTCAAAAATCTTTATAAAAAAATCTTATCCAGTAATCATTATCAACTGGGACAAATCAAGAAAATGAATTGTTTTTAAAAGGGTGGGCACTAGGAGATAATAGTAACACCATGACTAGCATACTATAGTAGGTAACTTCAGAATTGCATGTTTAATGACACTGTTACTTGCCATTTCATTGTAATTATATGTGAAATTTGCTGTCAGATTCCAAACAGCTGATAAAAACATCACTACAATCCACAAGTAATCCACACCACTCCAGTCCATCGATTACCGGTTGTATGATAGGGCCCATGATGTGTTAGGTGACCCCAACCTGTAATAAAACTTTGGCAACTGAAAAGCAAAAAGGACAGTAATGACGTGCCAGTTCTGGGATGAACAGACAGATAAGATGTGTTTGTAGGGAATGGAAAAAAGATCTATACTGTAGATCAATCCCTGATGCTAGCAGCTGGAATGGTTTCACTCCTTACCAGAGTCTGGCATTTCAGCAGACAGTATCCACAGAGAGTATATGAATGTGAGAAATACGAGGATATTCAGTGGGTATAAAAGTCTACACACCCCTGTTAAAATGGCAGCTTTTTAGGATGTAAAAAGAAGAATCCAAGGAAAATCATGTTGAATCCTTTTGCACCTTTAAAGCAATATTAAAACCAACAAAATTCAACTAACAAACAATGGAAACATTTAATGAAATAAGAAAAATAAGACTTAAAATAACCTTGTTGCATAAGCAGTGGGACATGGATGCATTTAAACTGCAGTTACAGATGGATAAATAATGTTTTGTTTGTAACATAAAACGTTGTACTTATATTTGAAATGATTTAAAACATGAAAAAAATTGTCCAAATGTGAAATTAAAAGTAGGTGACATACAGAAGCATTTTTGCCGTCTACAATTTAGAATGCCTGGAATTTTGAGTTTTAATAGACTAATAAATCACGTGCGTGCACTCTCTGTGATATACTTGATCATGTCAGATCGCACATCATTACGACACTTACCATATTATCGCAGACGATGCTGTATATCGCACACACCAGGCTCGACTTGAGAGAAAAATGAATCATCCGCGGTTGTGTGCGCACTTGTTTGCACGAGCAAAGGTGTTTTTAGGAGTCTTAACTTGCAGACGCCAGACCACTGATTCGTCAAACCCGCTTTCCTGCAGTCCGTGTTCTTCTGACTTCTGACTATTTTGTAGTAAGTAACGAATATGCTTCGGGGAAATGTATCGGAGTAAAGGTATACATTTTAATTAGGAAATGTAGTGGAGTAAAAGTTGGCTGAAATATAAAAACTCAAGTACAGATACTCCCAAAAAATACTTAAGTACTGTAACAAAGTATTATTACTTCGTTACATTACACCACTGTGCATAAGTGTGCACACCATTTTATAATGGGGCCATTCACATTCAAAGTTACGGTGACTGGGAGTGGACATGTTTGGTTCACGTAGTTTTGTTGTGACCATGACATTATTAACTCGTGGGAACGCGATGTGAAGTCGTGGCCTCAAGATCCTGTGTTGAGGGAACAACATCCATTTCTCGTGGCCAAGAGTTTAATGCGTAAACAAACCTGCGTGACCATAGCAACCTGGGATTATCAGAGATGGATTTATTAATATTTTATTTTGAATTAAGAAATTATTATATTAATGATTATAACCACCATAGGCCTAGGCTACCGGACTGTATTGCGCGTGATGTAGACAGCATTCAAATGACGTTTATTAAGAATAAATGTTACATAAAGTACGTAAAATAAAATAGGCCTACAAGAAAAAAATTTTATCCATCTCACAGTCTTGTAAGCCCATTAACTGATTGTCTTTTTTCCGTAATATTTGTATATTATTATTATTATTATTAATATTATTATTGGTGACATTTTTATATTAGTTGTTATATATTTTTATTTATTTTCCCTTCATTACGATCTCTTTACTTAACGTTCTGAATAGTTTTGTAAATAATAGCCTAATGTAAATGCTCGACATGCCAATAAAGCTTTGATTATGCTGTATGACTGGAATTTTTAATGGAAGTGCAGTTTAAAGGTTGAATTTAAGTGTAACTATATATTTCATTTTATTTCGTCTAATTAATAGACTATTATAAATATAGTGTTTCATTGAGGAATGAATTTGCGTAGTTTCATTTGTAACTGAAA